ACCACAAACTGAGACCACCCAGACACCACCCAGGAACAGACCGTCCAAAGGAAATTCCTAACGTTCCGTTGTAGATAGGATCACCAGTCAGCACACACCCATCGCTTTTTTTCACCAGGACACCCCTAGACAAATGTCAGCCAATCAGGGGTCCTGAACCTTAGAAATCCTTCATCCCTACCTTTGCTATTAGAAAAACCCTACCCCATCTGAATTCAGGACTCTCTGAACACTCCAATATGTTGGACACACAGAGAGTCTAAGTTTGCAAACTTGTGTGAGAATAAAGGCTCTTTGCTTTTACATACAGAACTTTGTCTCCTAGCTGGTTTTGGGGGGACTCCAGGATGTGGGCAGACACCCTTGCAATGAAAACTGCAACACACTCTCACAGGTCTGGTCACAAGCCTGGGGACTGTATGGATGAGGGCTCCTTTCCCGACTATGCTCACCTTCATCCTGACACCAAAGGACCTGGTCTTATCCCTCTGGCATTCTGCCCCTATGACTGACCCTGGGACTCCTTCTGCAGAAGGGTGCCATTCCAAAACATCCAGGGAAGAGTGCTCATGGGCACTGTTGGCCATGTCACAGAGAGGGTGGGCAGGGACTACCCAAGAAGCTGCGAGGGCTGCAGAAAAGGCGCAGGTTCCAGAAGGCAGCAGCTCCATCTTCTTGGGGGAGGGCAGCTCCTGGTGTGTCATCATCCCCCTTCCAATGACACAATGAAAAACTGAGGCTCTTGACCCCGTGTAGGCCTGGACCGTGTGCATGCTCATGCGTGGCTATGCAAGTAAAGTGTGTATATGTTCGTGTGTGGCTGTGTTTGTGTTTTAGTTTGACTGGGGTTTTGTTTTGTTCTTTTTGTTTGTATGAGTTTTTGATACAGGGTCTTGTGCTGCCCAGGCTGGCCTCAAACTTGCTTTGATGACCATGAACATCTGGTCTTCCTGCTTCTACCTCCTTGTGCCACCTTGTATTGTTTTTGCTGGGGATGGAAGCAAGGACCTCGTTCATGCCAGGGAAGTAGAGCTGCCCACCCCAGCCCTGCGTCTTTTTAAGAAAGGATCTCTACACATAGCTTCAACCGTCCTGGAACTCACTCTGTCACTCTGTCGACCAGGCTGGTCTTGAACTCACAGAGTCCACCTGCCTCTGCCTCCCAGAGTGCTGGGATTAAGGGCGTGTGCCACCGGGTCCATCCTAAAAGGTCTTTTAAGAAAAAAGAAAATGTGAGATTTGACTCCGTCAATAACCACGTCTGTTCTCTGTCTAGGTTCAGGAGCGTACCCCTGTTCTCTGTCTAGGTTCAGGAGCGTACCCCTGTTCTCTGTCTAGGTTCAAGAGCGTACCCCTGTTCTCTGTCTAGGTTCAGGAGCGTAACCCTGTTCTCTGTCTAGGTTCAGGAGCGTACCCCCAAGAACTTGTGGACAAAAGATGTGGCTTCAGCTGGGTTCAGATCAGGATCTGCGTCAGAAAACAGAACTACTCAGCCCTGGACTGGCTATAAGATGAGAAACTTCTAGAACATTCCCCACAGGCCTTGACTAGCTACAGTGTTCTGATTAATTACCAAGGGAGGGAAGAAAATGTGTGCGAAATAAAACCAAAACTACTTTCTGTGTGGCCAGGAGGAACAGAAGCAGCTGGGTCTTGGGTCAGTCCTGACCCAGGAAGTTCCTGTCTGGTCAGTTTCCTGGGGCTTCAACCCACCCCAGCTGTGAGCTTCCAAGGCCCTGATAGTAGATTGTAATCAGGCAGCGTCCTAGAGGCCTCGAGCTGCTCTCAGCACAGGCTTGCCTGGGGCCAGCAATTTTAACCGATAGCAGAACAATTAGCTAGAATAGAGTATTTCTTAAGCCTCATTGGGGCTTCTGTTTCTATGGTAATTGTTCTATAAAATGGGTTCAAATAATTGTTATGATTCTGCACTTGGGAAAACTGATGAACAGAGAGTTTCCACCTCTTTTAGAACTATGCCAATATAGGAAAACTGGGAGAAGCTGGATTTGGCTAAGTCCCTCTCAACCAGCTCCGAGATCTTTGCCAACCATGGCTTTAAACAGAGGGTTCTTCGTCAACAGAGATGTCTGCCTGCAAGGTTCCACGCTCGCTGTAAACTTACAGAAGACTCCTGCGCCCCGAGAGGGCTGTCTGCCATGGAATTGTCTTTCTTCCCTCTTCCGTCCAAGATACCCAGATTGCCACCAAACTCTTACGGTCAAGGGCGGAACAGACAGATCCTTCTGGATCCGAAGGGTCCCTGTTTGCAGATTGAGCCACAGGGCAAACATATTTGAAAACATCTACAAAGCAGCTCCCACACCTGCGGCTGGGGGATGGGGGGCTTTGGGGAAGAGTGGGCGGAAAGATTGTAAGAATCAGAGGATGAAGGGGTTTGCTGTGAGCCACTGGCAGTGTCAGATGCTCCACCCAAGGTCTCAGGGAACAAGGACAACGAAACCCCACACAAAGAACTCCAGGCAACAACAGAACGCTGAGGTGGGAGAAAGTCTTCCCCAGGAACGAGCATGCCAATTGGTCACGTAAGGACAGTTAACAGGGAAAAAAGAGGCCACCAATTTGAAAGCGGATAAGGGTGTATGAAAAGGCTTAGAATGAGGAAAGGGAAGAGAGAGATGATGTCATTTTATTATAATCACAAAAGAAAAGTATTAGGAGGGAAAAACGTGTGTTGAAAACTTTTTCACTTTCTTTGCCTTTACTCCCTAAAAACAACCTAACAGCTAACTTCCTGGGATTACATTGCAGGGGAGCTGTCAGTACCCAGGAATGACTGACAGCCCACGGGGGCAGGAAGGTTTTGCACAAATACTACCTTTGACATAAAGGATTCGGGCACTGGAAGAATTAGGTGTCTGTGTGGGTCCTGGGAGGCACCGGCTGGAACCACCCAGGGGCATCTGTCAAAAATCCAGCTTCTTCTGTCCAGGGGAAATGATAGGACCAGGGACATAAGATTCGAAGTAAAAACAGGGATCGCTTATTAAGAAAAACAAAAGTAAGTAAATAAAAGATTAACGCTCCAGAAAGTAAGAGTGGGCTAGTGAGCGGAAGGGGCCGTATGCACTCTAAAAGCCATGGGCCATGGGCCATCCCACCCTTGACAAGAAATCTACACTTCACTGTCTTGGAAACAGTGGGGACCAGAAGCAACCACCGATGACCTTGAACTTGTGATCCTCTGGCTTCTACCAACTGTGTGTCCCTCCACCTACTTGCTGCCAGAATTACGTGTTTGTGCCATTTCACCTAGATCATGAGATGTTGGGGGTAGGACCCATGGCCTCCTGCACGCTAGGCAAACGCTCTGCCTGGTGATCCACATCCTCAGCCCTGTGTGAACCGCCTTAAGCCTTGTGGTAGCGACACATTGGTTAAAGCCTTTGCTGATCTTTCTTGTGAGTCTAGTCTCTCTTGTTATTTCCCCATGATGTCCTGGCATCCTTCTCCTGGCCCGCCCAGGAATCTGGAACACCAGACATTTGAAATCTTAGCTTCCGATGCTCCTGCAGAGAGTTTTGTTCCTTGTGGCTGAAGATCACACAGAACAGGAGGGAACTGGCCTGGACGAAGGTCCCTTTCCAAGTTGAAGGAGCTCAGGAGGACGGCTGACAGTCTCAGCTTCATCCAATCGCTTTGCCAAAGACAGAGTCAGCATCGCATGAAGGAAACAGCTGTCAAGAGATGAACCCTAACAGTGGACACTGCAGCTTCCAGGTGTCTCTGCACACTGAACGGCCTCCAGATGGAAATGTATTGACTTGAGGTTAGGGAGACAATGTCACTGTGTAAGAGTCGCTGTATAAGACTGCTTTGTCATTATGAGGCAGAGTTCAAATCCGCCAGAACCCCCAGAACATAAACCCCACATGGTTGCAACATCTATAATCCCATCTGTGTGGTACAGAGACAAATTGTGGTACAGCGTACGCCTCAGGTTCCTTCATACTCACAGATAGATAGAAGCTAGTGTGCACATGTACACACGTATGCACACACGCGCGCACTGTCTTAGGGTTTCTATGCTGTGAAGAGGCACCATGACCATCGCAACTCCTATAAAGGAAAACATTTCACTGAGGCAGCTTATAGTGTCTCAGAGGTTCAGTCCATTATCGTCACAGTGGGACAAGGCAGCATGCAGGCAGACATGGTGCTGGAGAAGGAGCTGAGAGTCCTACATCTTCATCTGCAGGCAACAGGAAGTGAACTGTCACACTGGGAGTAACTTGAGCATAGGAAACCTCAAAGCCCACCCCCACAATGACACACTTTCTCCAACAAGGCCACACCTCCTAATAGTGCCATTCCCTATGAGTTTATGGGGGTCAGTTACATTCAAAGTACCGCACACACACACATATGTACCAGACACACATACAGACACATGCAAACTAAAATGCATTGATTCAATTACTCAGGCAATAATACCATTTCTTAGATTTTAGGACCAATTTTTGGGGAAACTACAGATAAATTTAGGAAGCTTTGAATACAGTCTCTTTCAGATTCATGAAAAGTTGTCCCAATTTGGAGTGAGATCTTGTGACAACTGTATGCAGATCACACTCTCCAGATTCTGTGGGACTAGGAAGGGCCAGGAAGTTTATTTCCTTCTTAAAGAAGGATTTTCTGAGTCTCATGATTTTAATTCATTCCTTAATAACAGATTTTTAAATTCCTTTTTAAGATTTATTTTACATGTATGAGTGTTTCGCCTGAATGTACGTATGTGTACCACGTGTGTGCGGTGCCTGTGGAAGTGTGGATGGCTGTGAGTCCCCAGGTGCCCCCACTGAGGAACCTCTCCAGCCCCCTCACCACGCCCGTAGCAGTTTTAAAAGAGAGCAAAATTATGGTCCACTCAGGAGAGAGGGCGCAGAATTTCCTGCATTCACTCACGGTTTATGTGTAGCCTTCCCTATCCTACCCTGCGGGGGGGGGGGGGGGGGGGACAAAGAGCAGTCATTTGTCTTTACTCTCTCCTCGAAGCCCAGAATCAAGGAGAGAGTCTGTGAATTTCCCAGGTTTGATACCTAATATCGCATGTGCACAGGCATGTGTGCATACACACATCATAAACGTGTGTGTGTATATGACAATTCAAAACAGACCCCACTGGGGATGTAGTTCAGTAGAGAATGATTGCCCAAGTCACGTGAGATCCGGAGGCCCATCCCAGTGTGGGGCCGGGGTGGGAGGTTCCATGGTTTCCAGCAGCCATTAATTCTAAACCATTTATTGCCATGCAAACACATGACCCCAGGCCAACCTTGGGAAACCGGAGGTGCTGTGGTGTCCATAGGCCAGGCTTGTGCAAGTGTAAAACAAGCCTCTTGGGGCACTAGGAATCACAGTTTTCAAAACTTGAATAATTTTGAAAATCATACTGCCCCATTTCTTTTGTAGAGAAGGAAGTTAAGAAGAGCAGGTGACAGTTGACCTGGGTGCAGTGGCCAAGCAGAGGAGAGATCCCATGCCCTCCAGGGCCACACGGGGGGGGGCGTGGCGGTGAGTCCTTCAACTGGCCTGAGAGGTCACACAGGAAAACGAGGGAGGACCCAGGCTGAGTCAGCTCTGCTGCTCCTGACCCCAGTGCCTCCCGAAAGGCCAGACTCCTGGCCCCAAAGCGTGACAAAGGCCTGTCCTTCTTCCTCCAGGGTGTCTGTCACCTCGTCACCATCTTTGTTATTTAATGGGGTGTGCACAGGACGCTAACATTGCCTTCCTAGGAGTGCCCCAGAGCTCTGTCCTGTGACTCTGAGAGTGCAGGGACCCAAAGCTGACCCTTCTAGCCCCACCCTCCCAACTCTCCACAAGTTCCATTGTCCCGGAGACCTGACTTACAAACCAGAACCAGAGGAGATATTGTTAAGAGGTCAAAGTCTAAACTAAAGTAGCAGAGCCTTCTTTAGTGGGTCTCTCCTGAGGGCCAGGCACGGAGAGTCTGCTCTGGCTGCAGGCAGGAAGCCAGGTCAGAGATGAGCAGCTGCTGGGACCTCTGAAGTTATTCAGACACCAGAGATACACGGTCAGGGGAGGGAGTGTCAGCCTTGCCTTCTCTTGCCTTGGGCTGCAGCCTTCTCTGAGGTGGGAGAGGGGAAGGCCTGTTTGTCTATTATGAGCCCTGAGAGGGGGAAGAATTTGAGATGTGCTCCATCATGGCTCCTCTCCCGTCTTTCCCTCCTCCCCATTCTAGAGATGGAACCCAAGGCTTGTTTAGAGTAGGCCAGAATTCTACCACTAAACCCTAATTCAGTTTCTCCATATCATCCTTTAGTATGTGTGTGTATGTGTGTATTTGCATGTATTTGTTCATGTATGTGCTCACACGTACATGGGTGTACATATGTGCAGAGGCAAAGAAAACCTAGAGCATCATTCCTCAGGAACTAACCCGAGTCTTGGTTTTTGAGTCAAGTGGATCTGTGTTCAGTGGGATTTTGAGTTCAGTGGGATCTGGGGCTCATTGATTAAGCTAGTCTGGGATCCTCCTGTCTCTACACGCCACCATCCTGGCTTCTTTACATGTGTTCTGAGGATAGAGCTGGGGTCCTCACACTTGCGTGGCAAGCACTTTCCTGACTGAGCCATCTCCTCAGTCGCTGGCCCCCACATCCTCAGCACAGGCACAGGGTGGCTACAAGAACTTCCTTGTCGTCCCCTGCAGCTTTTGGGCAGTGTCTGTGGAATCTCACTGTGGCACTGACCCCTGCTCTCTGCTTGCTTTTGATGCTGCTGATGGATTTAGTCCTTCGAGAGGCTATACAGCCGGACTCAAGCCGTGAGCATGTGGAGCCCGCCTGAGGAGGTATCGCAGCTGTCCTCTGGGGAAGGACCTTGGCATTTGACTATCTTGGCGTTGAAGCCCTTTTGTTGTGGTTGCAGTTCTGTGGACAGATCCTGTCACTTTGCCTTGTCTTCAGATGCAAAGACCGAAGCCAGAGAAGGTGGCGCATGCCTAGCTAGCTGGAGCCCTGTGCCCTACACACAGGATCTCTGCACCCTCACCTCCAGGCCTGTGGTGCGGGGAGGACTCATTTGGGTGGTTGCCACACTGACGCGGCACTGAGTCAGAGCGGAGATGGCTTTCCGAGATAGTACGCTGGTTGATGTGGAGAAGCAGTCTCAGGACTTGGCGCTATGGCGCCTGCCTGCCTCCTTCCGGACTGCTTGACACTGGCTAATTTGTGCTTGGAGCGTGTCGGAGACTCTCCAGGGCTCCTGTTGGCACTCCCTGGCCTTTTATGGGTGGAAGGTTCTTATTAGCACTCGGGAAGTCGGAGTTTTCCTTCCGGATGGGTTAATGCGTATTTGGAAAGAAGAGCGTGGAAAGGCGGCATGGGAGTGTCCACAGCCCAGCAGGACTTGGGGCTACAGAACAATGAGCACTTGCAGCCAGCAGGAGGGACCCTCTGCATGGGTGCATTAGGAAATATCTGGGAGAGACCTCTACAGTGCGGGTCGGAGACGGGGCCTGCTCACGGCTCATTAGCCCCGTGGCCAGGTGCCAGAGGTTGGTGGAAAAGAACAGGTGACTCCTCTCGGGAGCATCATTAAAACCCCGTGGTTTGCGCTTGGCATTCAGGGACCATTACCAAATCCTTGCCCTTGGAATAATGTTTCCAGGTCTTCTTATTTTGGAGGACAAGGGTAGCGAGGTGAAGGCCTGAAAGGAATGGTAAGCGAGAACAAAACCCAGGTGCCCTGCCAAGAATGGAGCTGATGGTAGGAACGCCACACGTAAGGACAGAGGCATCATATCTGTGTGAAGCAAATAATCAAAGCCACGGCCAAGGTCATATGAGCATCCTCTGCAGACATCTGGACAACTGTGGACTCACATGCATGCCAGAGGACCTTACCAGCCTGGAGACAACCACACCAGGATGGCTAGGTTGGGTCCCACTGCCATCCCAGGTGAGGAACGCAGTTTTAGCTCCCAGTATTCACAGGACTTTCCATCCGCCCACCCCCGTCAGCAGGGCAGCCAGGCTTCAGGTCTGAGCTGTGAAAAGCCAGGGGATCTCTGACTCACTCGCCTCCTCTCCAGCTGCGACAGAGATCTGGGAATGTGAGGCCCATTCTGAGCGAGGGGACATTCCTGAGCTGGGGCTTGTAGCAGTCCTAAGTCAACCGCCCACTTCCTCTCCAGTCACACTGCTTCATCTGAGGAGCAAGGCTAACCTCACACAGCGAGCGGCATGGGGCATGCAGCATGGGGCACCCAGCAGAGTGCATCGCCCAGCCACAGAGAGGGCAGTGGACAGGGATAGCAGCTGTCCCCTCCGCTTCCCACAAACAGGAAAGATGTCTCTCAGCTCAGGCCTGTGATGTTCGAGACATGCCTGTTTCATAACACGTGTTCACAGGGGACCTAGGAACGCGTCTCTTCTGGGGGTAGACATTGCTGGTTTTGAACATTTGAAGTCACAGACAGATGACTCCGCCGACCTTTGACCTGTGGGTAAACATTTGTGCATCTGAATCCCAGAAAAGCGTTATTTATTAACAGAACTCGGAACAGACACGCATGGCAAGCTCGCAGGGGGCAGCCTGGGTCAGTGGACGATGCAGAGGACGGGGCAAGGGGCACTGGCCTCACCAGGGACTGCTGTCATGGGGAAGACTGGCCCTCACAGTGTGCTGAGGTGGACTATGGAGGGAAGGACGGTGCTCAGGGCGCTGCAGGCCAGGGGCAAGGGAGGACAAGACCCAGGAGAGACATCTGTGCTGGGTGGGACCCAGTCTGCTCAAATGACCCCCTAGCGAGACCTAGGGAGAAGCGGAGCATGGGCACAGCAGGGGCAAGATGGGGGGTGGAGATTCAGGCACACAAGTCACAGCCCATGGCTAGATTGGCAGCGGCTACTGGAGGTGTTACGGTCCTGCGCAGAGAGTGGCATCACCAAAGTGCCACAGCCAGGTCATCCTGATGGCACTCTGAACTTTGGCCTTGAAAGGGCTGGTGGAGGGGAGCTGTTAGGAGATCCTATCACTGCTGTCGACAGGCTAGACCAGAGTGGCAAGGTGTGGAACTCCCCTGCCCAACTCCCCGCCGGAGAGCCCCTGGTGACTGCCAGGATACTGAATTCTCGCCCAAGCTACCTTGTGTACCCTGAAAGCCCCAGCCCTAAGTGGCAGGCTGCTGCTGTAGCATCTCACAGGTGAGGGCCCGAGGCTTGGAGACAAGAGGGTACCACTCACAGTGAGGCAGCGCAGGGTCAGGACTTAAACAGACCTGTCTGCCTCCTGCCACACCCACTCGGGAGAGGAGAGGGTCTCTGATCATTTCTAGTTAGAAGCCTCCGAGAACAGACAGCTGACAAGGGCAACTGGGGTGGGTGGACCAGATGAAATTTTAACACTGCCACAGATGGTGACAACATGTGGCCAGAGTGACCAGCCCAAGGTTCGTGTGAAAGATGGACAAAGAGAGTTCTGCCTCAGTAGAAGGTGAAGAAGAGGTTTATAGAGATCGGAGGCATATTCGTGAGGCCTCAGGCACCTTCTCGATGACCTGTGACGTGTCCCTCCATCACCTTCAGTGTGTAGGTGAGGAAACAAATACTCAAAGGCCACAAGTTCCCCCTTGAGTCCAGGAGGTGGGTCAGCGGGTAACAGTATTTGCCACCAAGCCCGATGACCTGACTTCTGTCACCAGGACCCACATGGTGGCAGAGAGCCGACTCCCACAGCTGTCCTCTGACCACCACACATGCACCATGGCACGTGTGCAACTTCCCCCAAACAAATGTAATTTAAATTTTTTTTTTAAAAAAGAAACGTTTTAAACTTTTATCTAAAGTTACAGCCCAAGGACTCTGGGACTCTGGCTGAAGCGTCGCCCACCAGTGTATCTGGGTAGATTAACACAGGAAGACACTCGCAGAATAATAGAACCTTCCACGGTAAGGAATTCAGCTGGGGTTTGTCAGCCCCGTAGTGAGGCACAATCCACAGCGGGACATGAACTGTGGCGCTGCAGTTTGAGTGTCTCTCAGATGCACTCTGACGTGTAATTGGCATGTAGCAGTATTCAGAGATGGGGTCTTCAGGAAATTATTAGGTCACCGTCCCCTGAATATTTACAGCCAGCCGACCCCGTCCTTTCCCACCCGCCCCTCTCCAGACAGGCAGACCCCAGCTCACTCACCTGGCTCCTCGTGGTACTTGGTTCAACACTGTCCACCCAAAGCAAGTCTTCTACGTTCCTCTGCCCCTCTCCCAACACACGTGCAAACGCTCCTCTAAGTTCTTGGCTCAGTCTTCCCTCTACCTCCAGCTACAGCGTTACTCAGAGTTCCTCCCGTCCCTCTCGGGTCTCATCATGACCGACACCCCACCTCCCTCCCCAAATTTCTCCACGTCTTCACTCCATCAGGCCATCTCATCCACACCACCCCCTGCTAACCAAAGTCTGGTTCCTCTCAGATGCCAAAGGCTGTGAAGCAAGAAAGACCCAGGAAGGGACACGTACAAACTTGCTTTTCTAATTTTCAAATTATTATCCAATTATCGTTCAGATGATTTCCTTGGGAGACGGCCCCAAGATTGGAATTCAGGGGTGAAGAAGGTGGGTTATCTCGGTGACTCACGGCTCCCATACGTTTGAAGACAAGCACCTACCCCCCCCCCACTCCCATTCTTCTCCAACATACATATTTTAAGAGTGTGTCGGAAGAATTTTAATTTGTGCTTTGCCTCTTGTTCCCTTTCTCTTTTCATTAAAAGAATTCAATAAATTTCAAAACACCATCCTATCCCCATAGGTTGGTTTGCTTTATTTCCATTTTGCTGTCTGTTTCCCAGGCTACAGATACCATTTTACTAATTGGCAGGCATTTCACCAATTTTATAGCATGGACATTTTCCCTCAAAAGACTAAGAAACAGAGTCAGGAGGAGGCTTGGCTCATGCCCTTCCTCATGCTCCAAGTGAGTCTCAAATAAACAAAAACAAGAGTGAATTGGGAAGGGATTATCACCCTGTATCTTCATCAGAATAATAAGCCACTTTCTCTTTTCAATAAAGACAAAAAAAAAATGGTACAGGAAGGGCTCTGGGTATGGAGAGACAGAAAAATTCCCCTTTTATTGAATATTGTGTTTTTAATGAGAAATATACCCAGAGGCTGCCGGAGGAAGTGACTCACTGGGGGTGGTCCTTGAGTGTTCTAGAAAATCCAGGCAGAAGTGACTCACTGGGGGTGGTCCTTGAGCGTTCTGAGCCTGGGTTCATTCCTCGTCCTCTCTCTGCTCTCCTCCAAGATGGGATGGGAGGAAGAAAGTCCCAGCCACACCCCCGTTTCCATGAGCGTCACACCCCCACTCTGCACGCCTGAGCTAATAGGCCCTTCCTTAGTCAGGTTTGGTGACAGCAACGGGACCCGTAACTGATGCAATGATGCCTTTTCCTGAAATGTTCACTTATGGAAAAATGAAGTGATTGATAAGCTCTATCTCTCGAGTCTCGATCCCGCTACCTGCCCTCTCCTCCCTCTCCCCTTCCCTCCCCTCCCTCTGACCCTCAAAGGCTGTCAAAGCCACAGTGATTTGTCTGAAAGACTCATCTGATTCCCTGTGGGCCCCTTTTAGAGATTTCAGAGCTTGGGTCCTGACTCCTCAGTGTAAACCATCATCTTTGAGTAAAACTGACTGTCTCAAGCCAGATATGTATTTTCAGCTGCAGCACCTTGCCCAAACCTGGAGAAGTCTGGAAGGTGACTTTTTTTTTTTCTTTTTTTTGGAGACAGAGTCTCTCCCCCTCCCTCCCTTTCTCTCTCCTTCCCTTTCTTTGGATTGTTTGTGCTATTGGAGCGTGGTTTTGCCCTGTGCAGATTGTGGTTGGGACATTTTCTCCCTCTTGAAGTAAAAAAGGGTACATTATTTTTGATATTGTGGGAGCATACAATAGAGAAATTTTATATTTTTAAGAGGAAATTTTAAAGTTTTACAGAAAATTTAAAAACTGGGAAATCTTAAGGAACAACTTTTAAGAATATTTAAATTTATAAGCCTATGGAACAATTTAAGTTTATAAAATCTTTTATATTATTAATACATGTTTAGATTCAGGAACTTTTTTCCAAATAAAAGGGGTGATATACAAAATGGTAGATTACTGAATCTACTTATGAAAAAGCAACTACTAGTCTCAAATATTTCACATTGGTATGGATTTTTATATATAGATACAAATTTAAGGTTATTTTTGTTATTTTATATATATATATTTCTACTCTTGTTTAAGATATTGTACCTAAGCACCTCATTTAAAGATGTAATACATAATTAAGAAATACATATTAGTAGTTAGTCATCTATAATAATCAAACTTGTAGTCATGTTAAATACTTTTCAAGGTTAAACCTAGATTTGTTTAGCTCAGATTTACTTAATAGATAATAGTACTCAAACTTGCTAGAGATCTGATCAATATGGCATTAAAAAAAAATTTAATGGAAAAAGTTTCTTACGATCAACAGAGACTCCCAGATCCTAGTGGTGACTCCAAGGTCTCCAAAGAAGTTGGCAGGGTACCACAATGTCTCTGCCTGGATTGCGATAATGCTAACCATTGGGCAAGACTACCCCAATGCCACACCTGATGCCAGCACCCTGCCCAAACTGTGGATAAGCAGGACACTAAAGAATTGATAGCCCCCTTTGCCTAGACAAAGTGAGATCCGTCTCCCCCATGTTCCTCCTCCATCGGAAAGCCTCTCACCTTCTGGGCCAGGCAGCTGAAGATGGATGCTGTCCTGGTACCTCTTCCCCAACACCATGGAGACCAGAGGAGCCTGGGGGCCCACAGATGCGAGCCTTGTTCTACCTTGACTAAAGGTCAGAGAGTTTGAGCTTGTTTTTACTCTTTCAAAGTTGTTGACAACAGGTGTGGCTACAAATAAGATGTCCTGACCTAGGGTGTAGTTACTTGGTCTTTGGAACTTTAAGATGGCCCATAGAGGTGGATCCACTCTACCCTGACCAAAGGTCACAGAATTCAAGCCTATTCCTGCTCCTTCATTTTAAAATAGGAGGTTTGAGCCGGGTGGTGGTGGCGCACACCTTTAATCCCAGTACTCGGGAGGCAGAGGCAGGCCGATCTCTGTGAGTTTGAGGCCAGTCTGGTCTTCAAGAGCTAGTTCCAGGACAGGCTCCAAAACTACAGAGAAACCCTGTCTCGGAAAAAAAAAAAAAAAAAACATAAATAAATAAATAAATAAATAAATAAATAAATAAATAAAATAGGAGGTTTGACAAAAGGAGTGGCCGCCTACAGGATACTCGGTCTAAGGTGTATTCACTGCATATCCTGCCCAAACATCAGGATGCTTAACTCAGGAAACAGTTGCTTGATGTCTCAAGTACTGAACTGTTCTGGTTGTCCTTCGTGTCCTGTCTGCCTTCTTCCCCCTTTATGTGTTCGGGTATATAAGCATATGGAAAATAAACACGGGCAGGTTCAGCATTCAGTATCCACTGAGTGAGTTGCCCTCTTGGCACTATCCTATGTCTGTATTTCTCTTGTACCTCTGCCTATTCTAACATTTCTAATCCACACCCCCCACCCTGGAGCGTATGAACCCATCGTGACTGGAGCGTGACAGATGACCATTTAGGTAATGGGCTAGTCTCTGTCATTTTAATTGATACATGGGCCATTTGGATTGTGCTTCATGCTATAATTTATCCTTCTCAGAGCGTTAATGGTATTGACGAGTAGGCTAACTAGAGCTTTGTCAGCTTAGAAGCAGCAGGTAACCAAGTTCTTCCCTACGGCCCCAGCCACCTTGTCAGCTTATTTCATGTGTAAAAATCAAGCCTTGCTTTTGCTAGAGCTACCCAGTCTCCCGTAGAGAAAAGGTAGACAGGTTTGCCTTACCAACAGGCTTCATATTGAAAGATAAACAGGTTTCAGATGTAACTTTCCACTAAAGGAACATGCTTTGCAATGGCTGTTCTCAGTAGTGACTGCTTGTGTCTCCAGCAAATCATTAGATGGAGAGAAAGAATGTTTAAGTCTCTGCAAGTTTTGAGGGTCTAAGAAAATGTTCTAAGGTGTTTAAAGGTCTGCGGATGTAAGAGCTTGTGTACGTTCTGAGGGTCTAAGAGATATAAAATCTGAGGGCATGAAAGCTTAAATAAGTTCTGGGGGGTCTCAGAAAATGATTTAAGATGTAAATGCAAGTTATAAAGGTATAAAAAATGATTTAAAGTATGTGAAAATGAATAGTGTTTCAGAATTCTTTCCCCTTCTGCGCTGTTGTTAAACACTAAGATATCAAAAGTTCAGAGCTTTAATACTGCTCAGTGGAGTTCTGATAAACTGGTAGAACACTGACCTCTTACTGTTCAGTCACAAGCTCAAGACTGTAGAGTTCTTTTGATTGTCTTCTAGGTGTAGACTTAAACATGCTTCTCATCAGGCTAAAGTCTTCCCTGTCCAATCCATATCCAGCTCTCTGGACAGAGGAAAAAATATTCGAGCTTTTTAACCCAAATCTACAGCGTTTGCTAGGACTTAAACGTATGAAGCTATTCCAGCTATTTTACAGACACCCGTTACCTGCTTTTTCTATAACGCGGATTTCAGTAAAGGTTGGTAATACTGCTATATCTAAAACTTTTCTGTCTCTTTGGAAACGGGAAGATTCATGTAAGCTTCAGAGAACTGAGGGAGCCACAAGTCTCGAATCCACTTCTCATAGAACAAAAGGATTCCAGGTAAGTAAGCCTAATTTCCCCTATCTGTCTCCTCTCTCTCTCTCCTGGTCTTGAGGCTCCCTCTCCTCCCCCAACTCCTAGGACCATGGCCTTAAAGTCCCAAATGTAAGGGTTTCCTTTAACTTCCTAAATTTTAACTTTTCCCCTAGTCTACTTCTGTCTCACCAGATTTTCACTTGGCTGACACATCAAAGCGTCACCTGCTGACCACAACCTGCTCTGCACGGCTGAGAGCCCTGGACTTGCTGAAAGCTGATATGGACCAGTCCAGTCTACGTGAATGTTCCATCTCTTCAGCTGGGTCAGCGATCCCCATGAATGCCCCACTGCCTTTGACTAGCATTCCAGCCTTCCTGGGCCCTCACAACAAAGTCCTAGTTTAGCAGGAAGTAGTTACAGAAGAGAGTAAGTTACCCCTTGTTCCCCAACAGGCTGGAATGTTACAGCAAAAGCAAACTCCCTGGCTTAAAGGACAAAATAGCTACCTATAGTGTCTATTGGCACACCAAGAAATTACCTGTTAAAACTGGATAGACCCAGATCAGATCTATCAACAGGTAGATTAATTAGCCAAAATAGTTCTATAGTATGATAGGGCATTCAACCTGCTCTATTTGAAACAGAGAAGTTATTGTATAGCTTTAAGATAAAATTGTACTTTCTATACAAGCTACTCAGGAATCATTAGAAGTAATCTGACTATATTCAAAGCAATCACTGCAAAAAAGGGGAGGGGGCTGAGATGAAGTAATTAACTGGTCCCCATTCTCATTTCCAGGTTCCTTCTAGGTAGTAATTCTGATGTCAACCATCACAGGACCTTTGACCCTTCTGCGTCTGCTAATTGTGTCGACTCTTGCATCCTTAATGCCTTAACTAAATGATAATTCCTGTCTGGGTACCATTAAGCTGATGGTTATTAGATCCCAATATAAACAGGTACCCATCACAGAGTCAAGGATTTGACTCAGGATACAACTTGAGGAGGAATGTGAGAGCCAAAGTTACATCTTAAATTTTAATTACTCTGCCTAAGAGGTCCATGAAACACAAATGCCTCTCATCTGCAAGCCCCTTGCCCAAGGACAGATAGTTCCGAAAATGTTGGAGACTATTCGTTATGGAAGATAACAAGCCACATGTTTCATTCCCCTAAACAAGTTCATTTGGCCATCTGCACCAGATGTGCTTGATCACATGTGGACGGGAAGTTCACAAGCAGGAAATAAGTCAGGATGCATGCTTGCCCCTGATTGAACGAAAGCTGGAGATACAACAGGATGTATGCTTGCCCCTGATTGGATCTGATAGGAAATACTTAAACTGTTGTAAACTCTGATTCGGAGTCATCTTCTGGAAACCTAGAGATGGTCCTGGACAGAGCCTATCCTGGCCAGTACTTAATTAAAGCTTGCTTCAAATTTGGTTTTAAACCATGGTAGAGGTCTTATTCTCAATCAGTGGGATTAACATTAGGAAGTGAGAAAACTCAGTTCTCTTGATTAGATGCGTTAGGAATCCGCCTGTCCTTCACCATGTGGGTCTCAGGAATGAAACTGGGGTCATCAGGCTGAGTGGCAAGCACCTGTACCCACTGAGGCATGGTGTCCCAAGTTCCAGGGGAATGTCTGTCACAGCCCACACTGAAATGACAAGCCCTGAGGCTGCTCAGAACGTTGAGGTGCCCAGAGTGGGCGCATGCTGACTGCCCAAAGCTCCACCCTTCACCTCCTGTGATGTGTGCTCAGTAGGGGAAATGCTAGGCCTCTCTGCTGGCACCAGGCTGGCCTCTTCCTCCTCCCTGGTGAGATTCATGGGGAGTTGCTTGGGGACTCAATAGTCTGACAAGGGCCGAATATCTTCAGCTTCTCTCCATTCCTGCCTGGAGGGCTACATTTGCGTGCTTCCCACAGCAAATCTGCCAGTGGAGAAGGCGACTGTGTTCTCTGCTCTGGGTCTCTATACAGTTTTTTGTTTGTTTGTTTTTCGAGACAGGGTTTCTCTGTAGCTTTGGAGCCTGTCCTGGAACTAACTCTTGTAGACCAGGCTGGCCTTGAACTCACAGAGATCCACCTGCCTCTGCCTCCCAAGTGCTGGGACTAACGGCGTGCGCCACCACCTCTATAGAGTTTTGAAGGTAACACGGCAAAAAAATTTTCCTTTTTAAAATATTGACAGGAGTCAGAATGAGCCCCCTGAAATATGCCACCTGGGCAAAAGGACGATTTTGAGCTACTGAGAAAAAGAAACAATTTAGGAAAAGCCCCCAGGCCTTCTGCCACAGTCGAACGCAGTCTTCCCTGCCCCTTGCCAGCTGAGGGAGACAAACTTTCCCTCCATCTCTGCAGCAACGAGCCCTGCCCCCAGCCTTTTCCCTTCCTACACTCACCTCTCCTGGTCTTGCCACTTCCCTGTGAGTTCTACCCTTGGTTAAAGTGACCCACAAACCTCCTCCTGCACACATCAAGTCAATTACATCTTTGAGTGTTTACTTCTTTTTAACAGAGGTCTTCGGGCATGTACAAATCAAAATGGTGACAGCAAATGAAATATGTATGCTTTTTTCTCTTATTAATCTGTCTTTCGTCATTGCACCTTGATATGCTCGTTAGCTTTTGTCAACCTGGCACAAGCTAGGGTCATCAAGCGTTGGGGACTGTGAACCCCTAGACCCTGAATTTCCTGTGACCCTCTTGCCTGCTGGAGTAGACGGCTTGTTTTCCTGTGTTTGCAGCTGCTCTGAGCACGAGACCCTCAGGAGTTCCTGATAGCAGGGGAGTGGTTTCTGGTGGGCTTGCAGCTGAGAGTTAGGGCGTGGCCATTAGTCAAGGAGACCATATATGAGCTGCCCTGGAACACAATAAAGGGGGCATTCTTGGCATTACCTCTCTCTCTCTCTCTCTCTCTCTCTCTCTCTCTCTCTCTCTCTCTCTCTCTCTCTCTCTCTCTCTCTCTCTCCCCGTGTGTGCTCCAGGCCCTTGTCCGACTTGTGAACCATACCGTAGCGCATAGAGCAGGTGTTCACTACAATCAAGGAAGAGCAAACCTCAACTGAGAAAAGCCCTCCATCAAACTGACCTATAGTCAAGTTTGTGGGACATTTTCTTGATTGACAATATGGGAGGATCCAGCTTACAGTGGGTGGTGCCACCCCTGGGCAGGTGGTCCTGGGTTGTATAAGAAAGTAGACTGAGGAGCTATGGAGAGATGGTTCAGCAGTTAAGAGTACTGGCTGCTCTTCCAGAGGACCCAGGTTCAAGTCCCAGGACTCACATGGCAGCTCACACCTGACTGTAACTCCCGTTCCAGGGGATCTGATTCCCTCACACAGACATACATGCAGGTGAAACACTAATGAACATAAAACAAAAATAAATTATTTAAAAAATGGAAAGAAAGAAAGCCAAGCTAGGCAGCGGTGGCACACGCCTCTAATCCCTCTTGATCTCTCTGAGTTCGAGGCCAGCCTGGTCTACAGAGTGAGTTCCAGACCAGTGAGGGCAACACAGAGAAACCCTGTCTCAAAAAAAAAAAAAAAAAAAAAAAGAGCAGGCTGAATAAGCCCTGAGAAGCAAGCCAGTAAAGTAAGCAGTGTTCCTCCATGGCCCCAGCATCAGCTCCTGCCTGCAGGTTCCTGCCTTGACCTCCTTCAGTGGGCAGGACGTGTAAGCCAAACAAACCCTTTCTTTCCCAGGTTGCTTATGGTCTACCAAACTAAGACCCTCGCATGCCCTAGCGATAGCCCATAAGGGAATAAACACTTTTTTCCTCATAGCATCCTTCAGTTAGAATAAGCACTGTGCTGATTAAAATCTCACTCTGCTTAATCTCATCAGTGATAAACATTTCTGTTGTGGTGGGGAAGGGGATCATCACGTGGTGGACAGACGTCTTTCTCGACCTGTTTGTAGTCTCTCCAGCTCTGTGGGGACGCGCACAGTGGGAGCCAGCGGCCCTGTGAGGATGGGCACAGTGGGAGCCAGCGGCCCTGTGGGGACATGCACAGCGGGAGCCAGCATCATCGCAACAGACACAGGCATACTCTCTCTTGGCTTCCCCATCCTCTGCTTGGCTGTGCTGGCTGAGCACTGTGAGCACTTCCTGAAACCATCCCTACACTCAAGAATCTGACCCCTTCTTGGGACCAAGATGAGGATTTGGGGGAGGAGCATCAATCAGCATGCTAGCCTGTATCTTCCTGGATGATGGGCACAGCAAGTCCAGGCAGTGTCCCGGTCCTAGGGGAAGATGAGGGTGCCTTGGTTTCATTTCTGTTGCTAGAATAAAACACTCTGACAATATCAACTTAGAGAAGTTAGATCACCATGTTAGGTTACAGGTCATTAAGGAAGGGAAGTCATGACACCAGCAACACCCACAGTCAAGAGCGGAGAGGAACTGGACCAATGCTCAGCAGTAAAGAGCATTTGCTGCTCTTACAGAGGACCCAGGTTCCACTTCCAGCACCCACATGGCGGCTTACCATTTGTAACTCCATTTCCAGGGTAGCTGGCGCCTCCTTGTGACCTCTGAAGGAACGCAGGCACCCATGTGTTATGCATATATTCATGCAGGCAAAATATTCATATATAGAAAATAAATCTAAAAAGTTTTTTTAAAAGATCAAAGAGAAGTTCATGCATTAACACTTAGGACACACTTTGCTCTTTCCACTCGGAGACAGTTCAGGACCCAGACCCAGGGAACGGTGCTGCCCACAGAGGTAGCTCAGAACACAGCCAAGAGGGTCTCCTCAAACATGCCACAGGCTGACCTGATCCAGACAATCCCTCCTTTAGACTTTCTAGGAGATTCTAGATTGTGTCGAATTGACAATTGAGCCTAAGCTTCACCAAGGATGTGAAGCAGTCTAGAAATCGATGTTTATTTCTTCAGGGAGTGTCTGGAGTAGCTGTGTTACTTCGAGCACCTGGGGCGTCTGTGATGAGGAGGTGGAAGTGGCCTAGCCCTCCATGAAAGTGGAACCCACACATGCAGAGGACTGGGATATGGAAACTAGAGAGTGAGCGAGGCCGTCTGAGAACCAGACCAGATAGTGGCATGGCCCACCCCCACCCGCAATGACCTTTCTTACAGCCTCTGTAAAGCAACCAAGCCGTTTACTGAAGAGTCTGAATCTCTAACCCTGTAGCAGACTCCCCAGGAGCCCATAGTCCAGGAAAATGGCAGTCAGCACTGACTTCCCACAAGGAGGCTTTGAGGCCTCGGGTGGCCGAACTCCAGAACATTAGAGGGCTTCTGGTGGGGACGCATTCCCCATCCATATAACAAGGGCACCTTAGCCATGTTCCTCCTCTTCCACGTCCTCTAGCGGCTCATTTCCTCCCTGGAGTGGAACCCTCCCCTCCCCCACCACTCCGGACCCCGACTCTGCCTTAAGGGCTTGAACTCCTGTCAGAGGCTCCGTTATACTGCGGCTGGCAGTCCGTGTTGTTAATAAGTCTGATAAACCTCTCACCTAAATGGACAGTCCACTTCCGTGTCCCCCTTGAGCACCCAGACTGGTATAGAGAAGCGTCCTTGGCTCGTGGCTTCCCTCTTCAGGATGCTTCAAAGCCAGTCACATCGTATCTGCCCAGTGAGAAAACCTTCCTCTACCTTCTTAGGTTCCGTGACTAAGGCTTACAGAATAGACACATGAACAAAAGAAAAGGGATATAGATTTTATTTGGTATTAATATAAGAGAGGGTTAAGGAAGAAAAAAGCAAAACTCTCGTGATGGGGAGGGAAGAGACACCAGAAAGAAAGGCAGACAGGAAATCACAGGAGGCAGAGAGAATTCACAGCAGTTAGGTGTTTGTAGACATCAGCTCTAATGTGCTGTGCTCCCCGTGACCTGAGGAAAGCAAGGGCTTGTGGGAAAGGCACCAGGAGGAGGTGCCTTAGGAGAGCAAGGGCTTGTGGGAAAGGCACCAGGAGGAGGTCCCCCCCCCTCCCACTGACCGCCCACCAAGTCAAGGTCTTATTATGTAACCCAGACCGGCCTTGAACTACTATGCCCCTGCCTCAGCCTCCCAAGAGCTGGAGTACAGCGTGTGCCACCCTCTCTGGCTCCTAGGGATTTGTCTTGAGACAGTGTCCGTTTTGGCTAGGTTGATGTGCCCATGACACAGGCTCTTTGGTTGCTTTTGGTCGTGGAGCTTTCTTACAGCCTCAAACTTGTGGCAATCCACCCGCCTCAGCCTCCTACACGCTGGGATTTCAGTATGCTCCACCAGACCGGGGGAAGAACTGAGATTTTAAAGGACAGAGTCCTCAAAAAGGAAAGAGCCTTCCCAGTTGTGGGTAAATGTGGGACCAACGCCAGCGAAGTTCAGTGGACCGGGCAGTCCCGAGGAGAAAAACCACGGCGAGGCTGAGCTACAAAGTTCAGGACTGCCCCGAGCCATGGAGGCAGAGCAAGGGGAATTCCTGTCCTCTGTGGCTGGGCTCTTTGCCCTGGGCTACCCGTGGGTAATCTTGGTAGCCTGCGATGTTCCCCGGGGGAGTGAGACAGGGGACTGAAAGGGAGAGCGTGATGAGTGAAGGCCAGGGCGGGACTCTGTGGGGCACAGAGTTCTTCCTCAGTCTCCTGCACCCCACGCTCCTGACCTGAGGGACAGTGTCATTAACTATCGCTATGACAAATGCGAAATGGCAGGGCCAGGGTTCAGGCCTCCAAGGAGAGGGATCTGGCATGCTGGTAGGAGTGCAGACAGGCAGGCCCTGAGGGTCTCTGGCTAGCCAGCCCAGTCTGATTAATGAGCCCTGGATCCCAGTATGACACTTTCTCAAAACACAGCCCGATGGCTTCTGAGAAATGATACTCATGTTGACCTCATGCCCCCACATGTACATATGAACACACACACAGAGGACTGCCTGGCAGTAGAGTAGATGGTACCCACAGAAGGGAAACCTGTCTGTGGCTGAGGGTGTAGCCTGAGGAGGCTATTCTAGGAAGGGAAGCCTGGTGTGTTCGGGACCTAAAGGGTAAGCATCTGAGGAAACCTCTCAGAGGAAGGAAGAACAAGATACCAGGGAGCCAAGTCCAAAAGCCAGGGCATCCTTGAAGTAGGGAGGAACCCAAGGTACCAGACACCCTGGGAGACAGGCAGAGGCAGGAGACAGTGTGCTCCAGATAACGGTGAGGTCCAAAGTCTGCAGAGGCTACAACAAGCCCAGCGAACGACAGCTCCAACATCACGTCCTCATTTCCCATAAGTGAATAAGCCTCAGAATTCAGGAAGACAAGTAAGTTTCTCTTCCTGCCATCTTGTCTTCGGAATGGGCATAAGGACTTGGGTTGTTTGCTCTTCCTTCTCAACTTCAGGATAAACGTAACAATGTCTCGGGAATCCTTTAATGCTTCTGACTGGTATTGCATTGACTCCACCTATCAACATGGGAGGTGCTGATCTCTTCACAAGCTATCGAACGCTCCTATCTGAAGACGTGCAGCCATCTTCACTTCCTCCGCACAGGCTTTCCTTACTCTCTTCGAGACCATCTTGCTGCGTAGCTCAGACTGGCCTTGAACCTGCCATCTCCCTGTTTCTAC